GTTTTAGATGATAATAGGCAGGATCATTTCTAAGGGACACAGTGGAAAGGAATATTAGTGAAATTAATTGGAAAGGTAAATAGTATTGTGGGCAAATGGACCAAGTGCCAGAAAATGCATCGGAAACTCTGAACCCTGGCTCTGGTCTTCATTTTCTTAATGGATAAATAGATGTGCACACATCCTTCCTTTCCTCCTTCCTCTGAAGTGCTGTAGTTCTTCAGGGATGCATTCACCAGTGGGTCTGAGACAGAGTGTAAGGTGACAGTGTGGGTTCATGTCATCTTAAAACTTTGCCAGATGACGTGTATTCTCCCTCCATGCTATCTTGGGCAAATCCCTTAAAACCACTCATGCCCCAGTATATTCATGTAAAACAAGGATAACAGTTTCTTTTTAACTGGCATGTGGGGAAGAACCTCAAAGCGACTTCCATTGGTGGCAGCTCTGTCATGTTTTAAGGTAGCAGTAATAGGGTGGGAGGTTTGCTAGCATGTTCTCTGGCATCCACCATTTTCTTCAGAGCCCTGGGCCACTAGCATGCTTTTTCCTCAGGTCTCTTCCCTGAGTATTCCCCCACCTCCACGCTCGATCAGATGCCTCATTCTCCCTCGGCAGCAAAAAAGGCTGGGTAGGCATTGGAGCCCTTGCTGTAGACAGGATGAGGGTGGAAGAGGAAGGCCATTTCCATGAGAGGCATTTCAGAGCCTTTAAAGTGGTAGAAATCCTGTAGACACTGATTTTTTTTTTGAGATGGAGTCTTGCTCTATTGCCAGGCTGGAGTGCAGTGGCGCAATCTCAGCTCACTGCAACCTCTGCCTCCCGGGTTCAAGTGATTGTCCTGCCTCAGCCTCCCGAGTAGCTGGGACTACAGGCATGTGCCAATACGCCCAGCTAATTTTTTTTGTATTTTTAGTAGTGACGGGGTTTTACCATGTTGGCCAGTATGGTCTCAATCTCTTGACCTTGTGATCCACCTGCCTCGGCCTCCCAAAGTGCTGGCGTTACAGTGGCATGAGCCACTGTGCCCAGCAGCTGATGTTTAAAATCAGGGATTTGCATCTCTGGGACTCCAACTCCTTTGTTTCCAAGGGAGGTTCCCTGGGTCACTTGGCCTGAGGTTGGGAGGTGGGTGGTGGTTGGGGGACAGAATGCGATGTTTGGGGGTGTGGGATGGTCAGGGGCGGGTGATGATGGGAGGGGTGGAGCCCGTCATCTCTCCTTGCCCCTCCAAGGTGGTGATGGAAGCTGTCTACAGCTCCGGCTCAGAGGCCAGGGGTTTCTGGGGCCCCAAGTGCAGGGCCTCCCTTTGCTCTTGAGAGGCCAGTACCTGAAATGCTGTTGTCCTTTTCTGCTCTCTCTGCCTCAGTCCAGTGCTTAGGACCCAAGATCATTTTCAGCTCCTTCCAACCAAGTCTCACTTTATTAAAGGAGCCTTTGTTCAGAGCAGATTGGAAAACTGAGCTGCGGCTCCACTTGAACGTCTGAGTTGGCCCACGTGGGAAACAGCAATGGCAGAGAAAGATGCTTCCTTTTGGACCACACCTTGAGGACAAAAGGGCAGTCATATAATCTGTAATCGAAACTGGGACACTTTTGTCTGGAATGAGTGTGACATTGATGTAAATTGAGCCCACCGTCACCCTAGGTCAGAGACATCCAGCCTTTATTATCCATACCATGGGGGAAAAAATGGAATGTGATTTTTTTTTTTTCCCAAAACAGCTTTAAAAAAACTGCTGAGCAAAGAAAAAAGCACACTTTAAAAAAGCAGGCCTTGGTGGGGCGCAGTGGCTCAAGCCTGTAATTCTAGCACTTTGGGAGGCTGAGGCGGGTGGATCACCGGAGGTCAGGAGTTTTAGACCAGCCTGGCCAACGGGGTGAAACCCTGTCTCTACTAAAAAATAACTACAAAAATTAGCCCAGTGTGGATGCACATGTCTGTAATCCCAGCCACTTGCTACTCAAAGGCTGAGGCAGGAGAATCTCTTGAATCTGGGAGGCGGAAGTTGCAGTGAGCCAAGATCGTGCCACTGCACTCCAGCCTACGAAACAGAGTGAGACTATCCCCCTCCCCTCAAAAAAAGAAAGCAGGCCTCATGTAGAGTGCTACTAAGACATCAAAAGGGAAGTAAAACCCTGCTCCAAACAAGCCCACGTGGGACGGCCACAACGCACCCTTGTGTGCCTGCATCCCGTTTCTGCTGTCCCCTTTCCCAAGGATGTACCCTGCTCTAGCCTCACCCTGATCTGGGGACTCCTCCTGTGGCCCATCCTGTGTTCACCAGCTGGGTCCTCCTGTCCTCCATCACACAGGCTGCCTCTCTGGCCCCCAGCAGACCCCTTCTTGTCTCTGGCATGCCCATGACACCTGAGAAGCACTGTGGGCAGTTCTATCAGTGAGGTTGACTTGTTGTTTTATACTTAGAATTGTTTCTTTCTCCTTAAATTAGATTTTTCTCCACTGATGACTATGATTCTATTTTATTTATTTTTATTTTCTGGGACCTATTATAGCTCGTAGCACATAGCACCTAACAGCTCCTCAGGAAGTATTTACCAAAAGATTGCATGAAGTGAGCTTGTTCCTCCTCCCTCCCTTCTTCCCTCCCTTTCCCACCCCTTCACTGGAAACTTACATTTGCTAAATGTGCCATGAAGTCGCCACCTTTTGCCTTTGCCTGTGTTTTCCCCTCTGCCTGGCATCTGCTCACATTCTTTCTGGCAGCTGCTCACTCATCTGTCAGGGCCCAGATCGGGTGGCAGCGCTCCTGCTGAGGCCCCGCGCCCCTTATCACTTCAGCCCAAGAGGATAGAACACTCCTGCTCTGGGGGCTGTAGTGGGTCTACCGGTTCCCTCCTCCTACAGCCCCATTGTCTTAGCAGACTTTGTGAGGCTCAGAGCCTCCAGCCCTGCCTTATTGTTGTTTGCAGGTCCAGAAATCTTGGCACATGATAATTGCCTGATAAACTGCCTTGAATTCATTAAATGGAATGCAATACGGTCTGCTGTGGCACCTGATGGCCAGCCTGAAGGAAGGGGTACTTTTTTCTCATTGTCATGTGGTCCCATTGGCTCTTCAAGCATCTCTTCTAAGCATCCAAGAGAGGTGCTTATTTCTCATTCTCACAAAGGCTCTTTGTGGACCAGCCCAGGAGGCCTGCTTAGGGGTTGGATGAAGGGTAAGCCTAGAGAAAGGAGGTTAAGGGAAGCAAGGTCAAGGCTGGGCTCAGAGAAAAGAATCTGGGGAGTCAGTGGAGTGACAGGCAGGGAACGGTCTCCATTTGATGCTGATGTTTATGCAGAATTGCTACTTTACACCCTGTAGAGGGAGCCTATTCTCTTCTTGTGGTAGGTCCCAGAAACTTCTACTTGGGGCTACATGAGGCCCAGCTGGGAATGGGCACAGAAGGTCATGGCTCTGCACCTGACCCTCACCTTAGGGGTCAGGACAGAGCCAAGGACATGAGTGATGGGCTAGGGGGACACAGGCACCACGGAGTGCCTTGGCCATCCTTGCGTAGAGGAGAGGTACAGGTGGCAAGGTAGGCACCAGGCAGCCGCTGTCAGGGTCAGGAACCGAGGCAGGTCCAGGAAACAGAGGCCAAAACAGCAGCAGGAACCGCCGGCTCAGCAGCCCACTGACTCTTCTGGATGTCTTTTAGACGCTGTGTGGCGGGGCAGGGACAAGTCCTGGTGTTTGGCCATGGGGAAGTGTGCAGTTATGGTAGGTGAGTTGTGCTTTCTTAATGTAGGTGTAGGGAAGGAGGGTAGTGAGTTTCAGTAGCTCATGTTTGTTGAGCACTTGCTATGTGCCAAGTGTGGTTTGAACTATATTTACATAGGAGCTCTTTGGGTCCTCCCAGCAAAGTCCTATGCAGCAGGCACTACTGTTCTTTCCCTTTTTCAGATAAAGAAACTGAAGCAAGAAAGGTTTAGTAAGTTGTAGAGCTAGGTATTGAGCCAGGGCCTAACTGCTTCCTAGAAATTAGAGACTGTTAGTTGAGTACCAACAGGTTGGCTGACAACGTGTATGGAACACGTCATCAGATTCTACCTAAATTTTGTGAAGAGGGGATTTCCATTTGACAAGTAAAAAAATTGAGAAGTTATCATCAACCTGAGATCAAACCAGGCTATAGGGAGTGGTGGGACCCATTTAGTTCAGATTTATGTGACTTCTGATGCTATGCTCATTGATCAATCAACATTATTCTCAGAGGATAAAAGTGACAATTCCTGGCCGGGCACGGTGGCTCATGCTTGTAATTCCAGCACTTCAGGAGGCTAAGGCGGGTGGATCACAAGGTCAAAAGATCGAGACCATCCTGGCCAACATGGTGAAACCCCATCTCTAATAAAAATACAAAAATTAGCTGGGCATGGCGGTGCATGCCTGTAGTCGCTGAGGTAAGAGAATCGCTTGAACCCAGGAGGTGGAGGTTGCAGTGAGTCAAGAGATCACATCACTGCACTCCAGCCTAGTGACAGAGCAAGGCTCCGTCTCAAAAAAAAAAAAAAAAAAAAAAGAGAGAGAATTGAATGGGTCATTGGACTGGATGACTTAGGGTTCCTCCAAAACCCTGAGATTTGATTTTTTTTTTTTTGGTACCTTTTTGTGTTAGCAGGTTTAGAGAGCTGACCATTGTATTTGATAGTAGCTGACTAAGCTTTTTGAATTGGAGTACCATCAACTATTATTAGATTTAGAATAGGTATATTTTGCTAAGTAAGATCTTAAAATTTTTTCTTTTAAACTTAGGATAGCTTTTCAAATTTCAAACCATTCTTTTTCAGTAAGCTGAAGACATTTAATGTTTTGTCACAGGCTTAGCTGTCATTAAATAGGGTCATTTTGATGCAAGTTTTAAAATCTAACCTCCCTCCCTTTTTCTCCTTAATTATGATCAGTGTCTTCACTTGAGGTTACCTAGGATGCATTTGAGACTATAAAGCTGCTGCTTCAAACTTAGCAATGTTGGCTGAGACAAACCAAGTACAGAATTTCCTGCTTTCGTAAAGAGGGTTGCAAGACATTCATTTCACAGTGCTCCTTTATTGTGTGTGATGAGCCATTGGCATCAAACCTGCTTGGGTTGCTATCAATTTTTCTTTTGGGAGCTGGTGACTTGAAATTTAAAACACAAGGGTTTAAGGGTATTGGAGGGACATGGCTGAAAGTCCTCCTGCCGCCTGGTGATTGAGAGTGATGGGGACCTAACCTGGTGTCAGGATAGCTCTTCGACACAGCTCGCCTCAATCCCCTTTACCTAGATTTAAGTTGTTAGCACTTTGCTATGTTTGTTCCATCTCTTTTTTCCCTGAAGTATTCAAAAGTGAATTACAGACATATGACATTTAGTCCCTAAATACTGAAGCCTATGCCTCTAAAAAACAAGAACATGTTTTTATGTAACTGTAGTACTGTTCTCACAAAATTAAGACTAATTGCCTAATGGACTCTATTACCTGATCCATTATCTGAATTTCCCCAGCTGACCCTAAAATGCCTTTTACAGCTGAACTGTTTAAACCAGAATTGAATTGAGAATTCTGTATTACATTTAATAGGTAGGCCTATTAAGACTCTCTTAACCTAGAATAGTGATAAAGGATTTTTCTTCTTGGTCACTTTGCAAGCCGGAGACCCCCAGCTGGCAACACCCCACCCAGGCCTCACTCTCCATGCTGGGGTGCCCCAGCTCACCTGTGTGATAGTTTGTACCTGTGTTTGGTGGTTCTTGAGTTCTTGCATGACACCCAAGAAGAATGAAGATACGCTGGCCATTGAAGGCTGAGGAGGGCAGAGTGAAATTTTATTGTGCAATGGAATAGCTCTCAGTGGAGAGGGGCTGCAGTCGGGTGTTTCTCTCCTTCCCACGTGACTGGGCCCAGGGCTTTTTATGAGCTCAGAATAAGGGAGGGGCAGGCCACATTTGATTTGTTAAAAGCCATTATTCAGAAGGAATCAATTGGGCAAACATGGATCAGACGTTCTCACTCTGAGTCATGGGTTTCATCCAGGACCAGCCTCCAGTCTTTCAGCCTTCAGGTTGTTTTTGGCTTGAAGGTGGGGTTTCACCAGGGACCTGCCCCTATCTGCCAAAGCATTTGGCTGCTTCCTGTCACTATCAATAGTCCCTTCCCTTCGATGACTTGTAGGTAGGTTGTTTCGCTTACCATATTCCATGGTGTCCTGGTGGCATCAGCAGTGAATGAACACGTCTTCTCCCTGTGTTTCTTGTACAGTACTGTATATTAGAAATTGGACTAAAGGCTTGATCAAATTTGAGGCAGGAATGGGTGAGGCTACATGAGACTGGAGGGACATAATGAGTGGTTCTGCAGTAATCAGTGATTAAAATTCATCCCTGGTTAATGTGGGGGCAGTCTGATCCTGCCACTGTCAAAAATTACATTTTCCCTCCCCAGGTGACCAGCAAGTAATGAGGGAGGGGATGTTTTGGCACTGTATATGTGCAAATTTGAAATATTGATCTACTTTTTCTTCCGAAGGATTAGAAATACTGTTTTTGTCTTTCTTTGCCCTTCTTTGAAAACACTGTACAAAGTAAATCTCCTTCTCTTACTAATGGAGACATTTCCCAAAGAGGTTGAACATATGTTAAAGTCTTCTTGCTCAACTGTAAGCCCTTCTGGATCCAAGGTCAGACCAGAGTTTGCAGACAGGTGGTCCCTGTGGACCAGACTGAATCCACAGATGTGTGTGTTTGGCCTGTGGAGCACTAAAACAAAAAAATGCAAATCCAGAGCCAAAATTTGGGGGATCCCATGTTATGATATGGTAATCCAGATTTCCAGGTTTATGGGAGGTCTTGGCAATCTAGCCACAGCAGGCCTGCGTCTCTGTGGGACTGCATGGCTAGAGATGTTGCTGGGCGTACCCGTAAGGTGGGACTGAGCCCTTTTGGCCACCAGGGACTGTACACCTCCTGTTGTGTTCATGTGGCTGGTTTCCCTTGCTGACCCGTGGCTGTGAGGCCCCTCGAGGTACAGGCCACCCTTTGGGCTTGTCCTCTGCACTGTTTCTTCGTTAGTATTTAGAGCTGACTTCTCCTCTTTCTTCCCCATTGAGGAGCAGCACCTTGCCCTGTGCAAAGTCTGTGTTTGTGATCTCTAGGCTCTTTGCAGAGCTACATTTCTCTCTGGAGGCCTTGCCGGGCAGCCTTCACTGTCTAGGGCATTGCTGAGAATCACGTCAACACTGATGGCCCTTGGGCCAAAAAGTGTTTGTCTTAAAATCCCGGCACCAAATAGCTTATGCAGTTACTCCTGTGAGAGCCCCAGAGGATCTAACTCTTTGGCTGTTTGTTCTAGTTGTAGTCCTGCCCACCCCCCAAACCCGAAATGATGTTTAAGGATAGTAATTCTCTCCCCCAAAATATAAATAAAAACATCTTTATTCCCTAACAACCACACAACTGTTGACATTTTTGTGTTTCCCTCCTAGTCTTTAAGTATATGAATGCACGCAACATCCTTTAAAAATCTGTCAACCCCAGCCTCCACGCCACCCAGCCCACCAGGCTTCCCAGCGGGAAGTATTGGAAGTGGCAGATGGGTAAATGCACAGGGCAGGTGAGGCTCCGTTCTACGTTAGGCTTGCTGTGCTGGATAGCCAGGGCCACAATAATGGATCTTTCTAATAATCCGCAATCACCATGTTCAGTATACACTAAATGAGCATGCAGGGAATATACAATCTGTTTATAAACATTTCCATATAAGCTTTTTTCTCTCTCTCACTCCACTTTTGGTAAATAACAGGGCAAACTAGACAGTGTGCTCGCTCATGCGCTCTCCCTCCCTCCCCCGCTCTCTCCCTGCTTCCCCCCGCGTCCCTTCATCTCCCTGTCCCTCTCTCCTCCCTCCTTCATTCTCTTTCTCTCTCCCCGCCTCTTCCTTCCTTGCTTCATCCCTCCCCCACCATCTCTCTCTCCCCCACCCTTTTTTAAAAAGAGACAAGAGTCTTGCTCTGTTGCCCAAGTTAGAGTGCAGTGGTGCAATCATAGCTCACTATAACCTCAGACTTCTGAGTTCAAGCAGTCCTCCTGCCTCAGCCTCCCCAGTAGCTGGGAGTACAGGCACACCACCATGCCCAGCTAATTTTTAAAAATTTTTATAGAGATGTGGTCTTGCTGTGTTGCCCAGGTCGATCTCAAACTTCTGACATCAAGTGACCTTGGCCTTGGCCTCTCAAAGTGTTGGAATTACAGGTGCACACCATTGTGCCCAGCCAGACAGGCCACTCTTCTGTAGCATTCCCTGATGTTGTGAGATGAGTAAGAGTCCCTGCTGCAGAACCTTGTTCACTTTGCCTTGACTCCTGATGCATGGATATTTGCTGTTACCAAAGACACCGTTGCTCTACCAGAGGGGAAGGAAAGACTTCTTGCCCTCATTTTCTTCAGTGTAGAATGATGCCGGGGTCACTGAGTCTGCAGGGCAGAGAATCTGATGTGTTTTTAGGAAGTAGAGGATGTCTGACACATAGTAGGTGTTTGACAAATTTTGTTAATCTGGTAAGAGTGGAGCCTGAGAAAACTGAAAAATTAAAAAGCCACTGAGGAGTGCTGGGGCTGTGTTTTGACATAAATACAAAGGCACCAAAAGGGGCAGAAATATGAGAACGATTCTGGGGCTGGCAAAGTTTGGATCCCCTGCCTGACGTTGCGTCCTGAGCCCCCAGCCCCTTCCTGCGCCTCTCCCCCAGCCACCAGCCCCTCCTCATTCCTTCCTCTCCTTTATCCTCCGCTGTCTTCGCCTGTGCCCCCACTCTCATGTCTTTCCTCTAGAGTCTTTGTCTTAAAGCACTCTGTCTCACCGTCTTCCTCTTCTTGGGGTGGGAGGGAAGGGTAGAAACAGCGTAAGAAGCTAAAGTATGAGGAAGGGAAGGTTGCCAGCTTGAGATGAGTCAGGAATGAAAGCAGTTCTGAATGTGTAAGACAATAAGGAAAATATTTATTTTACAAAAATTGAACTACCAACCAAGCGTTCAGGAACACGGCCAGAAGGTGCTGTGTAGGGAGAGGTATACATTAGGATGTGGAGCATGATTGCCGTGTTCCCACCCCAGGAGGAAGGGACTCGTTTATCTGCCTGTTAATGGTTCTCCCCATGGTAGACAGTGAGGGCTGGCTCTCCACCCCATCCTCAGTGGGTGCAGCTTTGGGGAGGCTGTGAGACTGGTGATCTTGGGGCCTGTTAGGCATCTGTGTTATTGAAGGTAACAATGTCCCTTCTACCTAAAAGTTATGCACCAGCTGGGGCTGGGTGCGGTGGCTCACGCCTGTGATCCCAGCCCTTTGGAAGGTTGAGGCAGGCGGATCATGAGGTCAGGAGCTCCAGACCAGTCAGGCCAACATAGCAAAACCCCATCTCTACTAAAAATACAAAAAATTAGCCAGATGTGGTGATACACACCTGTAATCTCAGCCACTTGGGAGGCTGAGGCAGGAGAATTGTGTCAACCCGGGAGGCGAAAGTTGCAGTGAGCCGAGGTCGCGCCATTGCACTCCAGCCTGGGTAACAGTGCAAGACTCCGTCTCAAAAAAAAAAAAAGCACAATCTTGAATCCATTTCGGGAACATCTTTGGAACTCCAGAATGTTGTCCTTCTCAGATATGTATCACCTATGTTGTATTACTTCATTTTCTAAGAAACATTGTCATCGACTTTATAAAGTTACTGAATAATTCTATTTGGGGAGAAGCCTGGAAGCTAAGATTTTAAAGATTGTTTATAAGTTAAGTGAACTGGCAGATTCTTAAATGGTAAATAATGATTTTCGCATGTGCTATCCGTAGTTATCTAAACGAGGGGCTAGCAAGCTTTTTTATTTTTTATTTTTTTGCCTTTAAAGGGCCAGATACTAAATAGTTGAGGCTTTGCAGGACTTACAGTCTCAGACATAGCACAGAAACAGCCTTGAGCAATGTATAAACAAACCGATATGTCCACGAGCCGATGGTCCATGAGCCATAGTTTGCCAGCCTCTGACGTTATAAGCCATTGATTTTCTACAACATATATTTAGAACTGGGAGTGTCAGTGTTATTTTGTCATGATTTCCAGATTAAACTCTTTCATAAAGCTGCTGGTCAGTCAATGACAGACTGATTCTGCTAGTGTTGACTTTTTGGGTCAGGAAATGGGGTTCCTAAATAGTGCAGTAGCTTTTTATTTATTTTCTTTCCCATTCAAGGGCAATATGCTTAAAATACAGCTTATGAAGCTTTTGGATATTCACTGTAAATTTTAAGGTCTAAAAATGAATGCAGTTGTAAAATGTTTTTGCCTTAGAGAAAAGGTTCTCGCTGCTTTGTGTTATAAATACATGAAAAATAATGATGAACTAAATGCATGCAAGCACATGCAGACATAAATTAGTGTATTGCAATTAAAATATTGTCCACTGTCCCCACTGAATATTCGTTATACTTCTGACTTTAGTGTAAGTAATGTTTAATAAGGAATCTACAATGTGTAACTCCTCAGTGAATTATTAAATGGACTGGCATTCTCACTATATAATATCAACGCAGGGGATATAAAATATGCCTGCCAGGATCATTTTTTTTTTTTTTTTTTTTTTTTTTTAAGATGGAGTCTTGCTCTGTCAGTGAGGCTGGAGTGCAATGGTGCCATCTTGGCTCACTGCAACCTCCGCCTCCCGGGTTCAAGTGATTCTCCTGCCTCAGCCTCCCAAGTTGCTGGGACTACAGGCATGTGCCACCACACCTGGCTAATTTTTTGTATTTTTAGTAGTGACAGGGTTTCACCCTGTTAACCAGGGTGGTCTCCATATCCTGACCTCATGATCTGCTCGCCTTGGCCTCCCAAAGTGCTGGGATTACAGGTGATCCACCACGCCTGGCTCTATGCCTGGATTCTTAATAAATGTGTGCTAACATTTCTTCTGGCACAGGAATAGGTGGTAAATACACTTCAAGAGTTCTTTGCATTTTTATCCTTCATTGTTATAGGCACATTATTGTGTGTCTCCTACTGAAGAACTGATTGATCATTGTTTTAAGCTAATGTGATTTTTAGTTGCTTAAAACTAGGCATTCATGGTAGGAAAGTAGAGAAACATTTGGAAGAAATACTGCGTTTTGTGTTTGGGAGTGGCTGGTAGAAAAATCGAAATAGACTAGTCTTACGACTTTATCACAGTGTTTTCTTTTTTCTAGTAGGAAAATGCTAATATTGCTTGTATATTATCTCAAAACACTCTTTCTCTAACACTGGGAGTTCATTGAGAACAGCAATTTTAATTTGGTTAGGTGGTTTTAACTTGTTTAGGTGATTTTAAATGTTATTTAGCAAATCTGGAAAACAAAAGAGAAATTTGCAAATATCTTTCTTCCAGGGTGGTGTACCGTCTCCCTGTAGTGTGATTTCATCTTCTCTTGTTAATCCATATGTAGTCAAACCATCATGTTCTTGAAATGAGACTTCAACCCCTAGTGGGGCCATATGATTCAGGATCTTTTGTTTGTCCTTACTTAGTTTCTTGGCCTGGAACGTCAAAATATCAGAAACTGTTCTTTCTCTGGAATCATCTGTCTCTGTGATGGCCTCACCATCTGTGCAGGCATCCAAGCTAGGGACCCGGGATTGTCCTTCACTCTCTCGTCCCTCCAGCTGCTGTGTCTGGCTTTCAGTGTTTGTGTAGAGCAGAGTTCTCCAACTCCTGTGGCATGTTAGGAAGTGGGCCCCATGGCAGGAGGTGAGCCCTGGGTGAGCGAGTGAAGCTTCCTCAGTATTTACAGCCCCTCCCCATCACTTGCTTGCTGCCTGAGCTCCGTCTCCTGTCAGATCAGCCTCCAGCGTTAGATTCTCATAGAAGTGTGAACCCTGTTGTGAACTGCGCATGTGAGGGATCTAGGTTGCACACTCTTTATGAGACTCTAATGCCTCATGATCTGGCACCGTCCCCCATCACCCCCAGATGGGACCATCTAGTTGCAGGAAAACAAGTTCAGGATTCCTGCTGGTTCTATATTACGGTGAGTTGTATAATTATTCCATTATCGATTACAATGTAATAATAATAGAAATAAAGTGCACCATAAATGTAATGCTTTGAATCATCCTGAAACCATCCTATCCTACGTCCCCAGCCGCGAACCAGCCTGTAGAAAAATTGTCTTCCACAAAACCAGTCCCTGGTGCCAAAAAGGTTGGGGAATGCTGGTGTAGAGGACTTTTGAAGCAGTGTCCGTAGCTGCCCTGTTCTCTCTAATCCCTCCACCTAGGTATACAAAATTCTGTCTCTAAGACACAGACTGTGTTCCTCCCAGGCAAACAAGTCAGTGGCTGTGCATTGCCCTGGGTAAACAGGGGCACTAGGTTCTTTGCAAAGCCCTGCAGTGCATTTCTCTCCAAGCTGCCATGCACCCTTCTTCCTGTCTGCCTGGCCGATGCCCAGAACCTCCCCCTTCTCCCTGTTTGCATAGCTGCCTTGCTCTCCTCCTTTCTCAGGCCAGTGTCGCCAATCAGTCTGTGTGACCTGGATGCAGAGTCCTTGGCTCTGCGCCTGGCCCTGTGCAGGTCTCTGTGGTGGCACTTAGCACATGGTGCTAAGATTCTCCCCGACAGGCCTTTGGCGCCGCAAGGGCCAGAGCCGTGTCCTGCACATCCTAGTCCCACGTCCTCCCAGGGACACCGAGCTGAGGACCGCTCCCTATCCCTTTTCTGTGCTTGGCCAACTCCAGCGCCCATTCTCCCCCAAGGGGTGGGCTTGGCCACCCTACCCCTTGGCTGAATCTCTCCTCCTTTCGTGTTTGTTCTCCAGGTGATGTATTCAGGCCCATATTTTCATTACCCTCACATTTCATTAATTTTTTCATTGTGTAGGTTTAAGGCCTTCTTTAAAATACACAGGTTCTGAATTTTAGTAATATAAAAGTCCTCTGTAAGTGCCCAATCACGTTACTTTTCTGTCCTCCCTACATTAAAGTTAGCACCGATGCCTTTATGTTTAAGGACAGCCTCCCGCACAGGGGCTTTGCCTGCGTAAAGTTCATTAGATGGCAGATGTGTCACCTCTGTCACCTGAAGGCCTGTTGACTGGCTCTGCCTGTTCCACCTCTATCGAAGTGTATTGGGGGTTACTGCACCCTCTGGTGGCCATATTGTCAGGTGCATTTTTGTACTAGTCAGAATGATAAACCAATCTAATCGTTGATTGGAGTTCTTTTTCAGAGGACGTCATTTATTCACATTTTGTGTGTTTCAGCAGGCATTTAAGCCATTCTCAAACAGTGACACTTACGCAGAGGATAGAATGATTTTACTTTAAGCAATTTCTACTTTTTACGTAGCTGGTTTTAAAGTAGATAATGCATAGTGTTAAACTTTATTTCCCCTTTCTTTCTTTCTTTTCTGCCAGGGAATTTATTAAATTTGTAGAATTATGCAAATAAAATGCCAGCCACTAAAAAGGAATTATTAACTGGTAATGGAGAAAATGAAATTCTTCAAATGTAGAGTACTATATTCATTTCAATATTTTGTCCCATAGACAAAATGTTTAACATTCATTTTTAGTTTTAAACGTTTATGAGTCCGAACTTCAACACTCTTCCAGATTTAAGAAAGGAATTTATCCGTCTGTGAATTAATTAGCAGGGTCTGTGTGTGTCACCAAGGCTGGAATGCACTGTTGCAGCTGTAGCTCACTGCAGCTTTGAACTCCTGGGCTCAGGCAACCCTCCCACTTTAGACTCTGAGATAACTAGGACCACAGGTGCACGCAACCATACCCAGCTAATTTTTTTAATTACAATTTTCTGTAGATACAGGGATCTTGCTATATTGCCCAGGCTGGTCTTGAACTCCTGGCCTCAAGCAATCCTCCTGCCTCAGCCTAAGAAAGGAATTCTTCATATAGAAAAATACTGTTATATAAATAGTTGCTTATATCCATGCTGTTTATGGGAACAGTTAAGGCTCATCTCAAAAGTATTTGTATTTGGCTTTGGAATAAAAAGAAATTTCCCTTTTCATAGGGTTCTAAGATTGTAGGAGTTTTTAGCATTACAAAAACAGTTAATGGAACAATGTGATGTGAAGAAGACTCAGAAGAGGCTAGAGAGGTCTTTACCCCTTTTTTTGTATTGTCATCCTTTCCCTGTTGCTAACTTTGCAATGACGTTTGTAGATGGCGTTGTTTTTCAGACTGATGATAGTGACTCCCAAAGAACCACAGCAGCAGCAATTTTTAATTTTTTTTTTTGAGATGGGTGCAGTGGTGCGATCTCAGCTCACTGCAGCCTCTGACTTCCTGCTTCAAGCAATTCTCCTGTCCCAGCTTCCCAAGTAGCTGGGACTGCAGGTGCGTGCCACCACACCCAGCTGATTTTTGTATTTTTAGTAGAGGCCGGGTTTCACCATGTTGGCCAAGATGGTCTCGATCTCCTGACCTCATGATCTGCCCACCTTGGCCTCCCAAAGTGCTGGGATTACAGGCGTAAGCCACTGCACCCGGATTTACATTTTTTAAAATGCAAGGTTGAGTGATTTTTCTCTCTGGATGCTTGAGTTTGTTTTTGATAAAAATTATGCTGGAGGCAGAGGAAAGAGTCCATGATGAAATCTTGGTGGAAGAAACCTGGGCAGATTGCAATCTAAGTGGATATGTGTGGCAA